GCAGCAGGATGGGCGCAGACGGCAGAGGAGGATGGAAGGACGGCAGACAATATGCAGCACAAGGGAGGGGGGGAGGGAGGGAAGAGGGGTGAGGGGGGAGGTGGAGGGAGGAGAAGGAAGGAGGGAGGAGAATGAAGGAGGGAGGAGAATGAAGGAGGGAGGAGAATGAACGAGAGGGAGAAGAGGAGGACGGAGGGAGAGGGAGCGAGAAAAGGGGAGCAGGGGCGGGGAGGGACCGGCGAGCGAGTGAGCGTACGTGAGGGCGTAGTTGCTGCGGGAGTTGTTGGGGTCGATGAAGATGTGCTGGCTGAAGTTGCCGAACATGATGAGGAACGACGTCAGGCAGAAGGGCAGGAACACGACCTGGTGCCGCCCCCACACCGCGCCACGTAGTTGGGAAGGGACGGGAGGGGAGGACGGAAGAGTAGCAGATACGGAGAGGACGATGAGCATTTGCAGGAGGAAAGATGGAAGAGGAGAGAGGGGAGAGGGGCGAGGGGCGAGGGGCGAGGGGCGAGGGATGAGGGATGAGGGGCGAGGGGCGAGGGGCGAGGGGCGAGGGATGAGGGGCGAGGGGCGAGGGACGAGGGGCGAGGGACGAGGGACGAGGGGAGGGATGAGTGCGGCATGGTGAGATGGGAAGCCTCAGCAAGAATTGGGTAAAGCTGAACAAGGACATGGCAGTTGGGCAAACAGCCGATGCTACTTTGATTCCAAAGTAGGATCTCATGTACAGCTTTGTGAGGAGGATCTTCCAGTGTGCCTCACATTCCCCCTCCGCGTTAAACCGTGACCACTTCCTCCCGCGTTCCTCCCCGCGTGACTTGACTCACCCATAGCGTGGCGATAGGCGCGACGAAGAAGAACAGGAGAAGGGAGGAGTAGAGGGAGATGGAGACGGCGCTCTTGATGCACGCGCCGTACCGCCGCGTGCGGAACGCGTACAGCGGCATCTCGAACGGCGACAGTAGCCAAAAGCGCAGCCAGTACCTGCACGGGCGGAAAGCGCCGAACGCGCGCGCGCGCGGGGGGGGAATGCGAAACAGAGCGCAACGGGGAAATCGCGGGGACAGCGGAGGAGGAAGGGGTAAGGGAGAAAGACAAGTTAAGACGGAGGACGGAGAGAGAGAGGAAGGGAGGGGGAAAGAGGAGCGGAGGCGCTCCTGGGACGGGCAGCGTCAGTTGGAGAGCAGCGATCGGCGCGCAGCAGGCAGGGAGGAGGGATGGGGCACAGCACACCACAGCAGAGCAGAAGAGAGCAGCGCAGCGCAGAGCAGGGCAGGGCAGGGCAGGGCAGGACGCTTACACGACGAAGTGGAGGAAGTTATCGCGCTGGTAGGGCTCCGTTGACGAAAGATCGTTAGGGTACAGGTTGTTCTCCTGCACGCACAGCCGCACAGCGGCACACAGGCGTGATCAGGCAAGGAGGGAATGACTTGAAAGGCGCAGAGTGAAGGGAGCAGCGTGGGGGGGAACAGGGTGGGGGGAACAGGGTGGGGGAAGCGGAGGGAGGAAAACAGAGGAACAGGGCGAGGGGAACAGGGGTTGGGAGAAGGGCGAAGGGAGCAGGAGGAGGGAAGCAGGTTGGGGAGAGCAGGTACTCACAACGTGGTGCATGACGCAGTGGTGCAGGCGATAGAAGCCCGGCGCAACGCCGAACAGAATCGACACGAACGTGGGCAGCACGTGCGACAGAAGCCTCCCCGTGAACGTCTTCTTGTAGATCTGCCGCAAGCAGCGAGAGACAAAGGGGTTTGAGAAGCAGTGAGAGAAGAGACGATCGAGAGAGAAGGACTCAACAAGAGTTTCACTAATGAAGGCTGGTACGTTTCAACACGAGTGGATCAAATGCAGGTTACTGCGACTAATTCGAAAAGGAGACGGAGAACGAAACAACGGGCGAGAGAGAATGATTTGCAGGCCGGGCGTGACGCTGCACGTCGCTCGATAGCTACAACGGCCACGTCGGCATCGAATGCCACTTTTTGACAAGATTCAGTCAGATCTGATTCTTCCCGGATCGAACAATATCCGATTCTCTCTGCTCCTCCGGTCGGAGCAGTTCGACTCCACCCTTCCAAAACGCTCCAGAACTAAAGATCCGTTTTCGAATGTGCCGCCGCAAAACAGTCACAGATCCGCGACTCGGAACACTGCACCACACGATGCAACGCCACGTCGGCATAAACCCACGCTGGCACGCAGCCGCAGCCGCAGCCGCCGCGCCGTCGTACCATGAGATGCTCGGAGAAGTGCAGAGCGAGCATGTATCGTTGCATGAAGAGCACGTAATGGAGAACCATGTACGTCGCTCCGATCAGGTTTCCCTTCCACCCGCCCACCCCGCCAAGCCCAGGCGTGGTTATCAAAATGACCGCCAGAGCTGCCGGCACGCTCATGCTGACGATGTTGAAGGTCGTATAAGCCAGCGGCGCGTCCTTGGGGTGATTTAGCTGCGCCACGAGCCACGTGTCGATCCAGCGCGGAGGCTTGAAGAGGTACTCTTGACGCGTCGCGGTGAAATCCGTGTTCACGAGCGGTGGCGCAGCCTTTTTGGGAACCTCCCCGTTTGCGTCCATGCCATTCAAGCCGCGTCGCGAGACGACACTCTCGTGGCTTAGATAAGCCGTGGATCCACCAAGCGAACCTTCCGGCGGAGCCATGGTTTGCCTGGGTTTGAGAGTCTTATGAAAATCCAAATCGGAGAGGCAAAAACGGGATAGTCAGGAACGTGCACACATGCGGATCATAAGGAATTATGACCGTAAGCCGATGAAATCGGCAGATGGGAGATTTAAGGAATGAACTTCACCGGCGTTTTCGTGGTAAGCAAGAAGCAGTGAGATGACGCACCAGAGGAGATCACAGGCTTGCCCTAGAATCGTCGTGGAATGTGCGAGTACAGAGTAGATCTCGACCTTCCTTGTGCTCGCCAACAGGGCTCCAGCAAGATCACACCGATAACACTGCCTTGAAGTTAGCTCCGCTGATCTCGCTAGACTCGAGAGTCCCGTGCGAAGTGGATCACTGTCCTCGAGATCATCGGTGGCTGACTTATGGATCTGGGAGACGAAGGTTGATGGATGAACCTAGGGCTCTGCGTAAGACTACACGTAGCAAGGCGACCGATGATTACATCAACTGGACGACCAGATCCCGAAGCGTGATAGTGTACTTCCTGGTTTGTACTGTACATACATCTTCAGGGGTTGCTTTGCCTACGAGTTGTGTTGTGTGTGTCAAAACCTTCTTGCTGCTGAGCTGGAGGAGCAGGCGATCCGGATAGTTTTGGGCCGATCCGCGTCACCTTGCCCGCGAGTGTCAGCAGGGACGGTTCTTATTGATTGTTACTTGCCAGCCCACGATTCCACTGCACACGTAGAGGCTTTGCCTGCCAAGAAGTTTGACTATCCATGATATTTTGTCTGCCCCAGCGATTTTAATTGGACGTCACACGTAGACGTATTGCCAGCCAGGAACCTCCGTGGATGAGACTTTCCTGCCCAAACGCCTCTCAATTGGAATCCACACGCAGAGGCGTTGGCCCACAAAAAACCAAGAGATTTGGATGCCCGAACTTCGAACGCACCAAGCTTTTCCCTCCAAAATCTATATCTTGAAAGAACCTCGGCCACGTGTACGGGCCAGTGGAACGACGAAGCATGGAAGGTGAGATTCATCTTCCTGTGGGTTGTGTTGGCAGCTCTCGGTCGTAAGACCATCATGATTCGTGGCTGAGGTCCAGGGGTCCATGACCCAATGATTGTATGGAGACCCGTTAGCGCATTTCTGTAATTGACAGAACGTATATCAATATACCTCCTAATACATATCTATATCGATCTAGATATGCATCTCATGACGAAGATCCTTGGTAAGAGTTTACGTGTTACATGGGGAGCATGCTACATCGATTTATTCATCCGTTGGATGGATCGCACGCCAATCGTGTGAATCTCAGAAACCACATTGTCCTGTGGGACCGTTGTTTCTACGATGTGCACGATTTGTCGCGAGCATACATTGTACTGTCATGGAGAAAGCTTCTCGAGGGAGCGGGTAGTATAGGGAAATTGGAATTCCTTATACTAGATCGATCATCGCTACGTATACATAACTATTCATCAGACCTCAACTGTTTTTTTGCCCAATACCAATTGCCGTTGTTCACTTGGACGTAATTCACATGTCATATAAATCAAACCTTGGTGTGATGTATCATGTTGCATTGGCCCTAAGCATCAGGAATAGTCCGAACCTCCATATCAGGATCACAAGCATAAATATTTTTGTGCTTTCTGGTTATAAATTTTCACGACTCAATCTTTGCTCATGCCTTACCTCAAATTCTAATATTTGCCTTGTTTGTGCAATCTTTGCTCGTTTAGTTGCAATAGTAGCACAATTTGTAATATAGACGAAATAGTTTCTCACTAGTGTAGCAGAGGTCGTTAGAGTAACACGCACGGAGCATATATAGAGGAATTTGAGTATCCACTCCATCCCCAACTTTTCTCTTCTGCTGCTGCTGCTGCTCCTCTTGCGACTGATGAGAGCCTCACCGCCAAGCCAGCCCTTTCGAGTCGCTGGTTCTCCATGCGGCTCTGCTTCCGCGCGACTTGACCGACGTCATTCCTAGAGTATCTCACCCGATCGGGCAGCCCAACGCGTGGCGCTCTTCTCTTGTCGGTCCGGCAGGTTGCAGTTAACTGCGGCGTCTAATTTGGCCAGATTCGGGCCTTCACACGAGCCTGTGTCATATCGAGCTGGATATTTTTTTCGTTCGAGTAGCTTATTGCCGCGTTCGTATGCTATTGCGCGGGCTCGATCCGTGCTTCCTCCTCAGATCGTCGATTTCCTACTCGATCCCCCGTTTATCTCACCTTCACCCTCTGCCGATCACCCTTCCTCCCTGCCGCCTCTATCCATCAGCCTTTTCACCCTTCCGCCTCTCACAATTCACCTTTCTCCCTCCCCTTTTCTCGAGCCATTGAGCGACCATGGCTATCCATGTCGACTCTAAGAACGTCCGGGCAGTTGAGCTTTACTGCTGGCTGCCCGTAGCGCGCCGATTGGACGTCTGGCCCTTCGCCGTCGTGTACGCCGTGTGGCTGGCGCTGCTGGTAACCCGGATTCGCCTGGACTTCGTGGAGATGGCTATCGTGACGGGCGCGCTGGTTTCGCTGAACATCCTGACGGCGCTGTTCACTGTGTGGTCCGTGGACTTCAGGTGTTTCGCGCACGCGCGGCAGGTGGGCACGTGGGCATGCGACGAGTGGCCATGTGACGAGTGGGCTTGTGACGAGTGGGCTTGTGACGAGTGGGCTTGTGACGAGTGGGCATGTGACGAGTGGGCTTGTGACGAGTGGGTATTTTTGAGGCGCCTTAGGAATTGACGGCGCTGTTTATTGTGCGGTCCGTGGACTTCCGGTGCTTCGTGCACGCGCAACAGGTAGGCATGTGGGCATGTGACGAGTGGGATTTGTGGGGCGCCTTAGGGATTGACGGCGCTGTTCACTGTGTGGTCCACGGACAGGTGGACTTTCGGTGCTTCGTGCATGCGCGACAGGTGGGCATGCCGGGTGTGGCATGGGGGCATGTGGGATCTGAGCTTGGGGCATGGGGGCTTGTGGGCATGGAGGCTGCGGGCATGTGCCATGTGCCATGGTGGATATGGGACATGGTTCTTTCGGCACCGTTAACAGTGTGGTCCGTGTTCCGTGGGGTTTCGGTGCTTCGGAATCAGGAATTGAGTTTGGTTTGAATTCAAATGTGATCTTGGTTCAGATTCTGGCTTGCATGGATGGGAATATTGTGTGGTGTGTGGCTGGCGTGTTCACAATCAGAAGAGTAAACGACCCAGGCGCTAGCGTGTGAGCGAAGAGTTGACTCGATAGCAGCACGGCAAAGCTTCAAAAGACGTCTCAAAGGCAAAGACATCTCAAAGCCGTGTCAAAGAGTTTGAGTAGAGGGCCGATTTGGAAGCAGCAAGACAATTATTGTATAATGTCGTGATATTACTATCTTTTTTGCGGGGGTTATGTTAATATAATGTACGTTAAAGCACCATGCCGCTCCGTGAAGGAACCAGGAGCGGGATAAGGGGAATCGGGGCAAGGGGTGGAATGGGGGGAATGAGTTGATCAGAAACTTGGTATGTCCTTTATTAGTCTTTCATGCTTCCTTTGTTTCCCTGTCTCTGAGTTGCACGTGTTTGCGTGTGTGCGTGTGTGTGTGTGTGTGTGTGTGTGCGCGCGCGCGCGCATGTGTGTCGGTGCATGCATGCATACGATACGCACATGCGAGCAGGTAGCATCAGTGCACGAGGCAGAGGTGTGCAAGGTCATTCCGTCCAAGTTCGGAGGTTCCAAGGAGGTGGTGCCGCTAACCAAGCGCAAGCACGTGAGTGTGCCTCTCTGAGTGTACTCAGCATCCAGACGGGAGAGTCCAAATAGGTTGAAAGTGTATGCATGTGCTTGCACACTGTACGCTGCATTTGTGAGAGTTCCTTCTGTCCCTCACCAAATAAGCATGGTAGCAGCACAGGCGTATCCTGAGTCGCGTCAGAATGTTCCTCGTACGCAGGTGCCGGGCGTACCATGCAGTACCGTGCAGTACCATGCAGTACCGTGCAGTACCTCTTCATTCACCTGCCACCTGCCTGGGCTGCCTGTCCTTCCTCTCTTCTCCCTTTCAGTTGCCAGCTGAAAAACACCTTCTAGGAGCTGGGGCTGCTGCTGCTGCTGCTTTGAAGAAAGAGGAGAAGGACAAGGGGGGAGAGACGGACAAGGGTGAAAAGAGCAAGACAGAGAAGCAGGAGGCGGATGGAGAACGAAGAGACAGCGAGAGGAAGGGGAAAAGCAGGGAGGAGCACAAGCAAGAAAGGGGAGGAGGAGCAGGAGGAGGAGGAGGAGGAGGAGGTGCGGATGTGCTACAGGCGGCAGCAGTTTGTGTACGACGAGGGGGAGGGAGTGTTCAAGAAGCTGCGGTATCCGAGCAAGGAGACGTTTGGAGCGTACGTGCAGTGGAAGGGGTATGGCACGCCCGCTAAGGTGGAGGCCGCCCGCCATCGATGGGGCCGCAACGCGTGAGGCTCTAGGAGGGGAGGAGAAGGGTGGAGGGGTGGAAGGGTTTATGAGCGTGGGTTGGGGTTCATGGGTTTTCTGTGTTTGTGGGGGCTGGTGGTGGTTGGGGGGGTTGTATATTGTGCCAAGACGTGTGTGGTCATGGGGTGGGGCGTATGGTATGGGGCGCGTTGGTTTGAAGGGTTGTTGGGGGGGTGAAGGGATGTATAGAGGATGAAGGGATGGTGGCAAAGATGGGGAGGGGATGGAGTGTTGCCATCAACAGACCTCTGTCTGCTACACATCGTCTCTTCTTCCACTCTCCCTTCTCGCCATACTGCACTCACCTTTAAGAATCTTCATTTGTGGCACCTCTTCTCCTTTCCCACACTCCCCCAACCCCCCCTCTCACCCACCCCTCTTCTCTCCTTCCATCTTTGCACGACATGCACTGCTGTCTTGTTTCCATTGTTGCATGCTTCGTTCGCACTGCTTCCCTCTTCCCAAATCGTTCCCTCGTCCCAAATCGTTCCCTCTTCCCCTTTCCTCCCTCTCTCCCCTCCCCTTTCCACTTATCACCTTGAAACAATTGGCTGCAGGTTTGAGTTCCCAGCGCCCACCTTCCTCGCTCTCTTCAAAGAGCAGTGCTCAGAGCCTTTCTTTGTCTTCCAGGTAGTTCATATGAGCATTGGAATCACCATTAGGAGTTCCTAGAATGAGCCAATGTAGTCCTGCTCACAAAGGTGGCTCGGATTTGAAACTGTGCTGCTGTTTTACCAGGTGAGTGAATCAGATTCACCTGTGATAGTTCTCAAGACAAGAGCGTTCTTTGTGCTGCTCGCTTGTTGAGATGCAGCAGTCAAATCGGAAAAGCTTCGGAGACGCCGGAAACCCTTCTGCCCCTCCTCCCTCTCCCCTCCCCCCTCCCTCGTCCCCCCTTCTCCCTCTCGGTCCCCAACCCCCTCCCAGGTGTTGTGTGGCGCTGTGGTGCATGGATGAGTACTGGTACTACTCCATCTTCACGCTCTTCACATGTGCACGCTTCTGAGGCGCCTCATATCCCCACCCTCCCCCACCCTCCCCCACCCTCTCCCCTCCCCTACCCCTCCACCAGGTGTTCTGTGTGGCGCTGTGGTGCATGGACGAGTACTGGTACTACTCCATCTTCACGCTCTTCATGCTGCTCGTCTTCGAGTCCACCGTCGTTGCCAGTCGCCTGCGCACACTCAGCGAGCTGCGCCGCGTGCGCGTCGACACACAGGGGATTCTCGTGCACCGCGAGGGCAAGTGAGTGCAGGGAGGGGGGCACTGGTTACCTGGTTGACTGGTTGGCTTGACTGTTTGCACCTACGGACGCAGTTTGCCCTTGAATGCCCGTCCTGCGCACACTCAGCGAGCTGCGCCGCGTGCGTGCGCGTCGACACACAGGGCATTCTCGTGCACCGCGAGGGCAAGTGAGTGCAGGGAGGGATGCGGGAGTGTGGAATGCGAGGGATGGGGAGGGTCTGGTCTGGGAGCACGCTCAGTGAGCTGCACCGCGTGCGCGCGCGTGAACACGCCAGGAGTTCTCGTGCACCGCGAGCGACTTTTGAGTCGACTCAAAAGTCACCTCTCTCATCTAGGAGTTGTCGTGCACCGCGAGCGACTTTTGAGTCGACTCAAAAGTCACCTCTCTCATCTAGGAGTTGTCGTGCACCGCGAGCGACTTTTGAGTCGACTCAAAAGTCACCTCTCTCATCTAGGAGTTGTCGTGCACCGCGAGCGACTTTTGAGTCGACTCAAAAGTCACCTCTCTCATCTAGGAGTTGTCGTGCACCGCGAGCGACTTTTGAGTCGACTCAAAAGTCACCTCTCTCATCTAGGAGTTGTCGTGCACCGCGAGCGACTTTTGAGTCGACTCAAAAGTCACCTCTCTCATCTAGGAGTTGTCGTGCACCGCGAGCGACTTTTGAGTCGACTCAAAAGTCACCTCTCTCATCTAGGAGTTGTCGTGCACCGCGAGCGACTTTTGAGTCGACTCAAAAGTCACCTCTCTCATCTAGGAGTTGTCGTGCACCGCGAGCGACTTTTGAGTCGACTCAAAAGTCACCTCTCTCATCTAGGAGTTGTCGTGCACCGCGAGCGACTTTTGAGTCGACTCAAAAGTCACCTCTCTCATCTAGGAGTTGTCGTGCACCGCGAGCGACTTTTGAGTCGACTCAAAAGTCACCTCTCTCATCTAGGAGTTGTCGTGCACCGCGAGCGACTTTTGAGTCGACTCAAAAGTCACCTCTCTCATCTAGGAGTTGTCGTGCACCGCGAGCGACTTTTGAGTCGACTCAAAAGTCACCTCTCTCATCTAGGAGTTGTCGTGCACCGCGAGCGACTTTTGAGTCGACTCAAAAGTCACCTCTCTCATCTAGGAGTTGTCGTGCACCGCGAGCGACTTTTGAGTCGACTCAAAAGTCACCTCTCTCATCTAGGAGTTGTCGTGCACCGCGAGCGACTTTTGAGTCGACTCAAAAGTCACCTCTCTCATCTAGGAGTTGTCGTGCACCGCGAGCGACTTTTGAGTCGACTCAAAAGTCACCTCTCTCATCTAGGAGTTGTCGTGCACCGCGAGCGACTTTTGAGTCGACTCAAAAGTCACCTCTCTCATCTAGGAGTTGTCGTGCACCGCGAGCGACTTTTGAGTCGACTCAAAAGTCACCTCTCTCATCTAGGAGTTGTCGTGCACCGCGAGCGACTTTTGAGTCGACTCAAAAGTCACCTCTCTCATCTAGGAGTTGTCGTGCACCGCGAGCGACTTTTGAGTCGACTCAAAAGTCACCTCTCTCATCTAGGAGTTGTCGTGCACCGCGAGCGACTTTTGAGTCGACTCAAAAGTCACCTCTCTCATCTAGGAGTTGTCGTGCACCGCGAGCGACTTTTGAGTCGACTCAAAAGTCACCTCTCTCATCTAGGAGTTGTCGTGCACCGCGAGCGACTTTTGAGTCGACTCAAAAGTCACCTCTCTCATCTAGGAGTTGTCGTGCACCGCGAGCGACTTTTGAGTCGACTCAAAAGTCACCTCTCTCATCTAGGAGTTGTCGTGCACCGCGAGCGACTTTTGAGTCGACTCAAAAGTCACCTCTCTCATCTAGGAGTTGTCGTGCACCGCGAGCGACTTTTGAGTCGACTCAAAAGTCACCTCTCTCATCTAGGAGTTGTCGTGCACCGCGAGCGACTTTTGAGTCGACTCAAAAGTCACCTCTCTCATCTAGGAGTTGTCGTGCACCGCGAGCGACTTTTGAGTCGACTCAAAAGTCACCTCTCTCATCTAGGAGTTGTCGTGCACCGCGAGCGACTTTTGAGTCGACTCAAAAGTCACCTCTCTCATCTAGGAGTTGTCGTGCACCGCGAGCGACTTTTGAGTCGACTCAAAAGTCACCTCTCTCATCTAGGAGTTGTCGTGCACCGCGAGCGACTTTTGAGTCGACTCAAAAGTCACCTCTCTCATCTAGGAGTTGTCGTGCACCGCGAGCGACTTTTGAGTCGACTCAAAAGTCACCTCTCTCATCTAGGAGTTGTCGTGCACCGCGAGCGCAAGTGAGTGTGGAGAAGGTGGAGGAAGAAAGGGTCGTTTGGCTTGCGAAGCGAAAGTTGGGGGTGGTTTGACTCTTGAGACTCCTGGGTGCTCGGTCAGTGATGTGCGGTGCGTGCATACGTGCGCGTGGTCATGCCCTGGTATTCTGATGCACCGCGAGGGGATAAAGCGGGGAGAGTGGGCGGCAAGAGAGGCAGGGTGTGGCAACCTTAGAATGGCAACCTGCGTTTGAGACATCTCAACACCTTAGGGCAACTTAATCCTGCCTATTTCGTCCCATGCTGTGCTCCCCCCCACTCCCCCTCGTCTCCCTCCCTCTTGCCCTCTTCCCTCTCTCCCCGTCCCAACTTCCCCCCCATTGACCCCTCCGCCCCTCGTTTCGCCTGCCTCTTCCCCGTCCCTCTCCTCCTCGCCTCACCAATCCCTGGTGGGTGACCCTAACAGGCCCTGATCTCGTGCCTGGAGACATTGTCTCCATTGGCTGCTCTGCTGCTGCTTACGGAGGTATCAAACTCGTCCTTCTCCCCATCTGCCCCTCGCCTACCGTCCCTCTCCCCCCCCCTCTTCCCCCCCCAGGTGGGTGACCCTAACAGGCCCTGATCTCGTGCCTGGAGACATTGTCTCTATCGGCCGCTCTGCTGCTGCTCACACCTCGGGGGGGAAGGGACGAGCAGGGGCAGGGGGAGCGGCAGGGGCGGGAGGGGCAGTGGAGGAGCGTACTGTGCCGGCTGATCTGCTGCTGTTGGCGGGGACTGTGATTGCCAACGAGGCGATTCTCACAGGGGAGAGCACCCCGCAGTGGAAGGTGGGTGCGGGTGGGTGCTGGGTGGGTGCGGGTGGGTGCTGGGTGGGTGCTGGGTGGTTGCTGGGTGGTTGGGTGGATGAGTAGGTAATGGGTGGGTGGGTGGGTGGGTGGATGGGAGGATGGGAGAGGACGAAGGGAGTGGGGTTAGGGGACTGTGAGTTGGGAGAGGGGGAGAGGAGGGAGTGAGTGCGGGAGGGTAAGTGGGGAAGGGAGGTGAGAGTGGGGGGGGAAGGGAACGAGGGGACGTTGAGACCATTGGAGTGGCGATGTTTCGACACGCTGCATTCGTTTCACGTGTCTGGATCCGCATTCCTCTTTACCTCTTCACCTCTTTGGTTGGTCCCTAAAGGTTGATTCGTTCTCCTCTGTACGCTCAAACTCTCTCCCTCCCCCTCTCCTCTGTACGCTCATGTTCATCTACTGCCTGCCCAAACTCCCTCCCCCCCACCCCACAACCACGCGGCCTATCGTTCTCCCACCACTGCCCCTCCCCCCACCTTCGCACCTCCTAACCTGCATCTCATCTCCCTCCCCTTTTCACCTTCTAAACCCTGTGAGCTCCCTCCCCTCTCTCCTCTTTCCCCCTTCGCCGCCCTCCCACCTGCCAGACGCCAGCGTCCATGCGGGAGGGCAGCGAGCGCGTGTCAGTTCGGCGGGACAAGGCACACGTGCTGTTCTCAGGGACCAAGATTCTGCAGCACACGCCCGACAAGGTGGGGGGGAAGGGGGTGGTGTGTGGGGGATGGGGAGGGGTATGGGAGGCAAGGAGAAGAAGGGTAAGGATAGCTGGTTCGGTTCGGGCAAGGCACACGTGCTGTTCTCAGGGACCAAGTTTTTTGCAGCACACGTCCGACAAGGTGGGGGGGAAGAGAGGGTGGCAGGTCATGTCTTTAGTTCTGGTTTTTGCCATCTCTGATTTCGCCTACTGGCCCTCTCATTCTCTTTCAGCTCCCCTGCCCGCCAAGCCCCCATCCCGTTGCTCGTTCCACCGTCCTTCTTCATGCATAATTTTTTTTTTTTTAGTCAACTGGAAAACTTCTCGTTCCCCCATCCCCATCCTTCTTCATGCATACCCGCCTGCTGCTTCTGTCTCCCCACTTTCCTATGCATCTCATGCCATTTGTCTTATTGCAAGAGTCACGGCTAAGCTTCTGCCGGCTCAACAGCTGTCAATGTCGTCAAATTGTTGCTCGATTCCCATGTTGCTCAGTTACCATGTTTCTCAGTTACCATGTTGCTCAGTTACCATGTTGCTCGATTCCCATGTTGCTCAGTTACCATGTTGCTCAGTTACCATGTTGCTCGATTCCCATGTTGCTTGTTGTCTTGAGGTTTTGCATCCTCGTGTGTCTTTCAGTCACCTCGAAAATCGCACGTCCTTTGACTGGCTCTCATCTTGGCTGTTGCCTCAAACGTGCGTGTGCGTGTGCACGTGCGTGCGTGCGTGCGTGCGTGTGTGTGCGTGTGTGTGCGCGTGTGTGCGCGTGCGTGTGTGTGCGTCTGCGTGTGTGTGCGCGTGCGTGTGCGTGCGCGCGCACACGAGCGCCATGTGCCATGCCCCCCACATGCATGTGTGATGTCTTTCTACGCATGCATGCATGCATGGTGCGGTGCGGTGCAGACAGCAGCGATCAGAGCACCGGACGGGGGGTGTGTGGCAGTGGTGCTGCGGACGGGCTTTGACACCAGCCAGGGCAAGCTCATGCGCACCATCCTCTTCTCCACTGATCGGGTACGTGCCTGCCTTGCCTGCCTTGCCTCCCTTCCTACCTGCCTGCCTTCCTCCCTTCGTTCCTACCTGCCCACCCACCCACCCACCCACCCTCCCTCCCTCCCTCCCTCCCTCCCCCTCCCTCCCTCCCTCCCTCCCTCCCTCCCTCCCTCCCTCCCTCCCTCCCTCGCTCCCTCCCTCCCTCTCTCCTTCCCTCCGGCCTTCCCTCCCTCCCTTTTATTACCCATTTCCCGCCAACCCCGCCACTCTTCTCTCTTGCAACCCTCGCTTCCTGCCACCTTCCCTCCTATCTTCCTGCCTGCATGCATCATCTCAGTAATCTGTTCCTCCATTTTTGCACCGCAATGCCCCCACTCCCCTGCTCCCTTTCCCTTTCTCCGCCCTTCCCTTTCCCCTTCCCTGTCTCCCCTCCCTTCCCTGTCGCCCCCCCACTTTCCCTTCTCGACACGCACACCGCACTGCACCGCATGCCACCAGGTGACGGCCAACAGTGCGGAGAGTGGCCTCTTCATCCTCTTCCTCGTTGTCTTTGCCATCGTTGCTGCTGGCTATGTGCTCTACAAGGTGATTCCCGCCCCTGCACCAGGTCATGCCTGCCTGCACCAGGCAATACCTGCACCAGGCGATACCTGTACCAGATTGTGCCCTTGTATTACAACCCTTCTTTTGCAAGGGGATGCCATTCTTATTGTATGTAATGCCTGCAACAATTGTTCCCTCTATCTTTCACTTTCCCCTGTGATTCTCCTTCATGTCTCTCCAACCAAATCACTCCCCTTCCTCGTTCTTCTCGCCCTCTTCCTTCTCCCTCCTCTCTCTTCTCCCCTCGCTCCCTCCAATCCTTTCGCGCACTTCTCCCCCTGCCCCCTCCTTCCCCCAACACCTCCCTATCCCGGCTCCCGTTTTACCTTCTTCTGCCCCAACACTGCAGGGTCTAGAGAATCCACACCGCAGTCGCTACAAGCTATTCCTCAACTGTTCGCTCATGATCACGTCCGTCATCCCGCCTGAGCTGCCCATGGAGCTCTCCTCGGGGGCTACTGCACGCCAATGCCTTCCTAATTGCCACGCCTGCCAGCGCATCTACTGCACCCCGCTCTTCTCCTTACCCCCCTCTCCCCCCTGCACCCCCTCTCCCTCCCCTCCCTCCCCCCCATCAGGGTTTGGAGGACCCACACCGCAGTCGCTACAAGCTATTTCTCAACTGTTCGCTCATCATCACGTCTGTCATCCCGCCCGAGCTGCCAATGGAGCTCTCCATCGCCGTCAACACCTCCCTCATTGCCCTTGTCCGCCAGGGCATCTACTGCACCGAGCCCTTCAGAATCCCGTTTGCCGGCAAGGTGTGTGTGCGAGTGCGTGCGTGCGTATGTATGTTCTTGATGTCTCGGGTGAGCTCTCCTTCGCCGTCAACTCCTCCCTCATCGCCCTTGTCCGCCAGGGCATCTACTGCACCGAACTGATGCTTGCTCTGTTTACATGGTGGAAGGCAGGGCATCCAGGCCCATGCAAGACTCCATGCAAGTCTTTAAGGATTCTAAAAAACTTGGCTACTTCTTGGTCCCATGCCAGTCTCGGTTATCGAATGTACAGCCTTGTAATCATGCTCTGGAATCGTACTCTTTGTATCAGCAGCTTCTATAGTGTTCCCATGTTTTGAGCCCCGATGTAAACTGAAACGAACATGACAGTCCTCTTGAAACCCTAAATCCTCCCATGTTTCTTGTCTGTCATGTTCCTTTCAATCGTATGGATGTGATTGGAATGGATGGATGTATGGATCCACGAGCAACCATGTTGTCTGTGGTGCGTGCACGTGTATGCGTGTTGTTGTTCCACATCTGTGCTTGTGTATGGTGTATGCGTCTGGTGCATGTGTGATGTGGTGTTACATGTGCGGGGCGGGGTGTGTGATGTATGGTACATGGGCTGGGCTACCCTGATCGTTGCAGGTGGACATTTGCTGTTTCGACAAGACCGGGACGCTCACTTCAGATGACATGGTGCGAGTTCGGTTTTGATTTGTTGTTGCCGTTGTCAAACATGTTTTGTTTTGGTCTTTCTCCGCAATGCTGGATTTACCTTTGAGATGCTCAAGTATGCATTTCCACTTACCCAATCATGCCCGATCTCCATTCTCAACTTGCTTTCTATTCCCTGTCTTGTCACATCCATCCACTCACTCCCGCCTCTCACACACCCATCTGCCTCTCCCCCCCCCCTATTCTCCCCTCACCCCCCTTTTCCCTTCCCACTTCCCCCCACACAATCCCCTCAGGAGTTCCGTGGAGTGGTGGGGGTGGAGGGAGGGGGCTCCTTGGATCTCTCTGCGGACTGCCATCGCTTCCCGCTGCCAACGCTGCTCACCCTTGCCGCCTGCCACTCGCTCGTCTTTGTCGACAACAAGATGGTCAGTCTTCTGCTGTCAGTCCTTTGCTCTCATTCACACAACACCACTCACACTGACCAAGGCACTGACAACGCTGCTCACCCTTGCCGCCTGCCAGCCACTCCCTCGTCTTTGTCGATAACAAGCTGGTCACTCCTCTGTTGTCAGTGCTTTGCTTGCCGTCAATCCTTTGCTCTCGGTCCTTTGTTGTCAGTTTTCCGTCGTCAGTGCCTTTGCTGTCATTCACACGAATTTCATGCTGCCCACAACAACACCACCCACGCTGCTCTCACATTGCCCATGCGTTCTGATGCGCTCCAAAAACCGTTTCACACGTGTGTCAAATCATCAGGTGGGGGACCCGTTGGAGAAGGCAGCGTTGACTGGCGTTGACTGGGGCTTCACAGCAGAAGAGAAGGCGCACTCAAGAAAGTGAGACTCGAGTGCTATGAATGACTCTGCATGACCCTGCATGACCCTGCATGTCTTTCTGAGTGTTGGCTTTGCACCTCCTTTGAGTGGTTCCTGGGACATCTCAGAACTTTATGGGTGCTCTTGGTCACATGCCATTTCCATGCCATTGCATGCCATGCCATGCCCTGCTCTGTGTAAGCCGTTAGTTCTAGCCTCAAGAATGGGATTGGGTAGGTAAGCATACTCGACGCTGGGTGCGAGGTATCGGGTTGGGCTCTAATTCTGAGACGCGCACGCACGCACGCACGCACACACCATTGCACTCATGCACGAATGCGCGAGCACACACATGCACATCTGGGTTCAGACATGCACACACTGATGCACAGGTTTGGGGCCGCTTGTATCCATCTTTTCCCTCATCCCTTTTTTCCTCGTGGTCCTCTTCCCCTCCCCCTCCTCCTTTCTGTTACTTGTTTTAGGTGCCTCAGATATAGTTTTCTAATAGCCCTGTCCTCTACCTCCTCCTCCTCCGCCCCGTTGTGTGACCCCAGGGGGCAGCACCACGAGGCGAGCATAATATGCCGGCACCACTTCGCATCGCACCTGAAGCGCATGGCGGTCATAGCACGTGTGGACACACAAGGATGCCCATACATTCATGCACAGGCATCGTGTGTCCCCCCCCCCCCCCCCCCCTCAATCCCTCCTCCTTCCCCAACCCCTCCCCCCTCCAAAACCCCCTTCTTCCTTCAACACCTCCCCCCTCGCCCTCTCCTCCCCCAACCATTGTGACCCCAGGGGGCAGCACCACGAGGCGAGCATAATATGCCGGCACCACTTCGCATCGCACCTGAAGCGCATGGCAGTGATTGCACGCGTGGACAGCAAGCCTGGCTTCATGGTTCTTGTCAAGGTGAGTGCTGCAGGGCTCGTCAGAGTTATCATCTCTCCCTTCTCCTTTCCCTACCTCCACTTCTCCTCCCTCCCTTTCTTCTCCCCACCACCCGCTTCTCCCTCACCCCTCCCCCAACTCTTTCATCCCTCTGTCCCCCCGCACCCTTCCTCCCAGGGAGCCCCTGAGACGATAATGGAGCGGTTGGGAGAGGTGCCAATGGGGTACAGTGCGGCATACAAGCAGTTCACCCGTCAGGGGGCACGTGTGCTCGCCCTGGCCTACAAGCAACTGCCTGACATGACGGTGAGAGAGGGGGAGTGTGAGGGGGGCGTGGAGGTGGGGAAGGGGGATGTGGAGGAGGAAAGAGAGGGGGTTTGAATCGTATGTGTGCTTGCCCTGGCCTACAAGCAACTGCCTGATATGACGGTGAGGAAAGGTGGAGTAGGGTGAGGGGGGGGTGGAGGGGGGGAAGAGGGAGATGGTTGAAATGGGAGGATGGATAAGGGACGCATGTGTTCGCGCTCGCCTACAAGCAACTGCCTGATATGGCTCTGAGGAGGGGGAGAGTGGGGGGGAATGGAGGCGTCACAAGTTTGTTTTCAGAGGATGCATGTTGGGAGGCTGGGATGTTCTTTTGAGTCGACTCAAGAGTGGGGGGGGAATGGAGGCGTCACAAGTTTGTGATCAGAGGAAACATGTTGGGAGGCTGGGATGTTCGGAGTCGCTGTATGCTATCCCATTCCTACTAATGCTCCTCTTGTACCTAGCGGCTCTAGAAGCAAGCGGCTCTAGAAGTGGTGATATGAGTTACTTTACCTGTACCCTTCGCCTCTCTACCCTCTCTTTTGCCCACCGCTGCTGTTCCTGCTGCTGCTGGGGAGGTGGCTGGGCTGCGAACGGGATGGACTGTGACATATTACCATGCTGTGTGATGGCCGGGGCTGTATGTACGGGAGGCGAGGGAGGGGGTTGTAGAGTGCGTGGCTGTCTTCGTGCGTGTGGGTGTGCGTGTGGGTGTGCGTGTGGGTGTGCGTGTGGGTGTGCGTGTGGGTGTGCGTGTGGGTGTGCGTGTGGGTGTGCGTGTGGGTGTGCGTGTGGGTGTGCGTGTGGGTGTGCGTGTGGGTGTGCGTGTGGGTGTGGGTGTGCGTGTGTGTGTGTGTGTGCGTGTGTGTGTGCGTGTGTGTGTGTGTGTGTGTGTGTGCACGTGTGTGTGCACGTGTGTGGGGGTGTGTGCGCGCGCACATGTGTGTGTGTGTGCATCACAGGTGACAGAGGCCAGGGCTCTGGAGCGTGATGATGTGGAGAGTGGCCTGACATTCGCTGGCTTCGCGGTAAGACATTCACCCATGCATGCACACCCACCCATGCATGCACACCCACCCATGCATGCACACCCACCCATGCATGCACACCCACCCATGCATGCACATCCACCCATGCATGCACATTCACCCATGCATGCACATCCACCCATGCATGCACATTCACCCATGCATGCACATTCACCCATGCATGCACATTCACCCATGCATGCACATTCACCCATGCATGCACATTCACCCATGCATGCACATTCACCCATGTATGCACCCAACCCTCCAACCCTCCAACCCTCCCTCCCTCCCTCCCTCCCTCCCTCCCTCTCTCCCTCCCTCCCTCCCTCCCTCCCTCCCTCCCTCCCTCCCTCCCTCCCTCCCTCCCTCCTATGCATGCTAAATTGCTCCACTCCTCCCATGTGACCACACATGTGCCTTTCCACACTTCCCCATTCTCCATCCCTTCCTCTTTCTCCCCCGCACCCGTCCCCCCATCAGGTCTTTGCATGCCCCATTCGCTCTGACTCTGCCGCAGTGCTGGCTGAGCTGCGCCATTCTTCCCACGACTTGGTGTGTCCCTATCCCTTGCACCATTGCCTTTGTCTCCGTGTGACTTTTTCGTCTTCCCCTCATACATCCTGCCTGTTCTCTTTGTTTTCCCCTTTCTCTCCTGTTTTTCTCCTCCCCTGTTCCACCTCCCCTTCATTGAGCTCTCGCAGCACCATGCCACATGTCATCTGCTGTGCGCTTTTGAGGCGCCTCAAGAGTCATGCCACATGCCACATGCCACATGCCCCATGCCAGCTCCAGAGCACTGTGTGCCTTGCATACAACCGGGTTTTTCTGAGAATTCAATGCTCCGAAGCACCCTGTGAGTGACTTGTCGCAGTCATGCCTTTCTCACCCCCCTCTCCGTCCTCTCTCTTCCCAACCACCCTTTTCTCTACCCCCCTGTTCTTCTTCTTCCCTGCGTCAGGTGATGATTACTGGAGATCAAGCGCTGACAGCATGCCACGTGGCAGGGCAGGTGAACATAGTGACTCGCCCTGTGCTCGTGCTTACCCCCTCTGCTGAGGGTGGATTCAACTGGCTCTCACCTGATGAAGTCACCTGCATGCCCTACAGGTAGGTGGAGTGCAGCTGAGTGCGGTGGAGTGGGGCAGGGTGGGGTGGGGTGCGATGGAGTGGAAGGGTGTGGGATGGGGTGAAGTGGCAGGGCAGGTGAACATAGTGACTCGCCCTGTGCTCGTGCTCACCCCCTCTGCTGACGGGGGATTCAACTGGCTCTCGCCTGATGAAGTCACCTGCATGCCCTACAGGTGGGTGGGGAGGAGTGGGGTGGAGTGGAGTGGGATGAGATGGGTTGGGTTCGAGTGTTGTGGGGTGTGATGGAGGGGAGGGAATTGTGGTGAAGTGGAGAGGTGTGGAGTTGGTTGGTCGGGTGAGTGAGGAGTACGACCTCTGTGTGGCTGTGATCCTGCCCTTATCATGGGTTCCATGCACGTGCATTGCCTTCCCCTCCCCCCCCCACCACCACCAGGGAGGAGGAGGTGGAGCGGGTGAGTGAGGAGTACGACCTATGTGTGGCGGGCGATGGTATCGCCATGCTGCAGCGCTGCAACGCCCTCTCCCTCGTCGTCCCGCGCACGCAGGTGCGTGGTGTGCTGTGCTGTGCTGTGCAGTGCAGTGCGGTGCAATGCGGGGCTATGCTGTGCTGTGCTGTGCTATGCCTTCCTTTCACCACAAATCCCATCTCGCTCCCAGTTATTTCAGAGCCAAGGCAGGTGGTATTGGCCGCAATAGGAGGAGCTATGGATGGCCGCAATAGGAGGAGCTATGGATGGCCGCAATAGGAGGAGCTATGGATGGCCGCAATAGGAGGAGCTATGGATGGCCGCAATAGGAGGAGCTATGGATGGCCGCAATAGGAGGAGCTATGGATGGCCGCAATAGGAGGAGCTATGGATGGCCGCAATAGGAGGAGAGGAGCTATGGATGGCCGCAATAGGAGGAGAGGAGCTATGGATGGCCGCAATAGGAGGAGAGGAGCTATGGATGGCCGCAATAGGAGGAGAGGAGCTATGGATGGCCGCAATAGGAGGAGAGGAGCTATGGATGGCCGCAATAGGAGGAGAGGAGCTATGGATGGCCGCAATAGGAGGAGAGGAGCTATTGATGGCCGCAATAGGAGGAGAGGAGCTATGGATGGCCGCAATAGGAGGAGAGGAGCTATGGATGGCCGCAATAGGAGGAGAGGAGCTATGGATGGCCGCAATAGGAGGAGAGGAGCTATGGATGGCCGCAATAGGAGGAGAGGAGCTATGGATGGCCGCAATAGGAGGAGAGGAGCTATGGATGGCCGCAATAGGAGGAGAGGAGCTATGGATGGCCGCAATAGGAGGAGAGGAGCTATGGATGGCCGCAATAGGAGGATCTATGGATGGCCGCAATAGGAGGAGAGGAGCTATGGATGGCCGCAATAGGAGGAGAGGAGCTATGGATGGCCGCAATAGGAGGAGAGGAGCTATGGAGGGTCATGACTTATGTGTGGCAGCAGAACCAACAACATGGTTATGCTGATGCCCATGCATGTTTCAGTCCCTCTTTTCCCCCTCCCCTTCCTCCCCCTCCCCCCCATTTTCCCCCCACCCCCCCCCCCCATTTCCCCCTCTTCCCTTCCCCTCCTCCCCTCCCACCTTCCTAATCCTCCACACCACACCTCCCCCAACCTCCCTCAACAACACCCCTCTCTCCCGCAGGTGTTCGCACGTGTATCACCGGAGCAGAAGGAGGTGATTCACGTTGCCCCACTCTCCCCCCTCTCTTTCCCTTCCCCCGCATCCCACCAACCTCCCCCTCCTCCCCCTCCCCCATACCACACAGGTGTTCGCACGGGTATCACCGGAGCAGAAGGAGGTGATTCACGTTGCCCCACTCTCCCCCTCTCTTCCCCTTCCCCCACATCCCACCCACCTCCCCCTCCCCCATACCCCACAGGTGTTCGCACGGGTATCACCAGAGCAGAAGGAGGTGATTCTAGCGACGCTCAAGGACGTGGGGCGGGTGACGCTCATGTGTGGCGACGGCACCAACGATGTGGGGGCACTGAAGCGCGCCGATGTGGGCGTTGCTCTGCTCAACGCTGTCCCGCCTGCTCCTGCGGGAAAGAAGAGCACTGGGGATGCTGCTGCAGGTGGGAGGATGGGTGGATGCGGGTGGGTGAGTGAATGGATGTTTGTTTTGTGTCCACTTGGTTTGTGAATGGGGCACGTGCGCGGCAGTGGTTTATTCTGCTGCACGCCTTGTCCAAAAAAAAAAAAAAAAAAAAAAAAAAAGTGCACCTGCTTCCAGTTCTCTGTCTATGCCCTTCTTCCCCTGCTCCCTGCCACATTCCACTCCAGAAATCCCCACGCCGTAACCCCTACGCCTCCCCTTACTCCTCCTGCCTCCCTGCTCTATCTCTCCTCCCAGACTAAAACACCTGTTTTCAAGGCGTGTCAAAAACACCTTCCTTCCCCTCCCACCTTCCCTCCCCACGCCAGGGGCTGCAAAGCACAAGAGGAGACCAGGGCAACCTCACACCGCAGCAGGCATAGGCGGATCCACAGGAGCCACCACAGGCGGCGCCCTTGCTTCCACCGCAGCAGGCAGTAGCAGCAGCACCACTGCCGCCGCATCAGCAGCAGCAGCGGGGCCAGGAGGGGTGGTTAACCCACGCCTATCCGCACGGGAGATGCACCAGCGGAAGGTGAAGGAGCAGCAGGAGAAGCTGCAGAAGCTGATGAAAGAGCTCGAGGACGGCGGGGACGGGCGCGCACCGGTTGTGAAGCTCGGCGACGCATCCATGGCCTCTCCATTCACAGCCAAGCACGCCTCTGTAAAACCCACCCGGGACATCCTCCGCCAGGGCCGCGCGACGCTGGTTACCACGTTACAGATGTTCAAGATCCTCGGTTTGAACTGCCTGGCGACAGCCTATGTTATGTCTGTGTTGTCCCTTGATGGGGTGAAGCTCGGCGACACACAGGCGACGATCAGCGGCGTGTTCACCGCGGCATTCTTCCTCTTCCTCTCGCAGGCCAAGCCTCTCGACACACTCTCCAAGGAGCGCCCGCACCCGAACGTCTTCTCAGCTTACGTCCTCATCTCCATCCTCGGACAATTTGCCATGCACATCACGTTCCTCATAACGGCCGTCTCCTGGGCTCAGACCTTCATGCCTGAGGAATGCATTGAACCCGACTCAACCTTCTTTCCGAACCTCGTCAACACGGTGTCCTACATGGCGACTATGATGATCCAGGTTGCGACGTTCGCAGTGAACTACATTGGGCATCCGTTCAACCAGAGCATACGCGAGAACACGCAGTTTTTCTACGCGCTGTCGGCCGCAGCGGTGTTCTTCACAGTGGTGGCTTCGGACACGATCCGAGAGCTGAACGACTCATTGGAATTGGTGAAGCTGCCGCAGCCGCTGGGGGTTTCGCTGCTCGGCATGGCTGCGGTCATGTTTGTGGGGTGTTATGCATGGGAGCGGCTGCTGCGCTGGTGCTTTCCGGTTCGGCCTGTGGTGCTGCGGGGTTGTGGGGGGGCTGGGCGTGGGGGAAGGAAGGCTGCTGGTGCTGGTGGTGCTGATGGTGTGGGTGGCGGTGACAGGGGAACAGGGATGGTGAGGGAAGGAGCGAGTGGTGGTGTTGGGGATGGGATTCTAGGGAAGAAGTATGCTTGAGGGAGAGAGAGTCTAAGGAGGGGGAGGGTGGAGATAAAGGGGAAAAGAGAGCGGAGAGGAGAGCATTTTATGTTTTTTTTGGCTTGACTATGCACAGCCACCGCTAGGCTGTGATGATTCTTTTGTGTCTGGACTTGCTGTGGTGGATTGACCGAGCGAGCACTAAGGTGTTACAGTAAACCATCCAAGTACAATTGCAATGGGATGCAATGCAGTGCAAACTCCTGCCAGGATCATTAGTGCCACAAAGACAACAGGAACAAACAAAGTGGACTCATAGCAGATCATTAGTGCGGTTTTATGGTGTAATTGGTGCACGAGGTAACGTAGTTTTATTAGGAGTTCACCTTCTGACATCTCAAGTGTAACAGGACAGCTAGCAAAAGAATATACCACTGTAAACAACGCTATGCTATCACAATCAGCCTACCCATGTACGCAGTAACTACTTAGCCACCTTGCAGATAGCCCAGCCATGCAGGGGGATGCGCACTGCCCACATTACTGGGCGATCCTTAGTCTCCTGATATCTCTCATAATTTATCTCTCTCAGACAGCTCTTCTGCCCCACTTTCTCAGTATCTTTCTCCATTGGGGGTTGATCCCTCTCCCCCTCACCGCTGCCTTCCCTCCAATCTTCACATGCATGCCTGCACCAAAACCAGCAGCAGCGGCAGCAACAGTAGCACCAACACCTCCTCCTATTCTTCCTCTTGCTGCTGCTCTTGCTGCTCCTCTGCCTGCAGCTGTGCCTGCCTGCCGCTGCTGCCTCCTGCGCCATTGACTTTGCTTCCGCTGCTGCTGCTGCTGCTGCTGCCTCTCCCTCTGCTGCTGCCACCGGCGCTGCTGCATCTCCCACGCCTGAATCTGCTGCTCGTTGTTCAGGGGCGTCCCACTGCCGCCAGCAGTCACAGCAGCAGCAGCAGCAGCAGCAGGTCTTCGGACAGGTGGGGTTCTCACAGCAACAGGTTGCCTCCTCCTCAGCGGTGCAGCAGTCGCTGCAGCAGGCTTCTGCACTGGCACAGCAGCAGCAGCGGGCCGTGGGGGGACAACAACCACCGCAGCACTAGGCCTTTGGGGCACAGCAGTGGGTCTTCTGGGAACCACAGCAGCAGCAGGCGTCGGGGGGACAACAGGTCTGGGCCTTGGGGGAACAGCAGCAGCAGGCCTTTGGGGCACAGCAGTGGGTCTTTTGGGAACCACAGCAGCAGCAGGCGTCGGGGGAGCAACAGTGGGCCTTGGGGGAACAACAACCGCAACGGGCCTCCTTTGGGGCACAGCAGTGGGTCTTTTGGGAACCACAGCAGCAGCAGGGGTCGGGGGAGCAACAGTGGGCCTTGGGGGAACAGCAGCAGCAGGCCTCCTAGGAATGACAGCCGTTGGTTTTTGTGGAACAGCTGCGGACCTTGGGGGAACCACAGCAACAGGCCGTGGGGGGACCACAGCAACAGCGGGTCTAGGGGGGACGCGCACAGGAGCACCAGCGGGTGTCCTGCTAGGGAGGCTCCCTGTGACAGGGGTGGTGGTGGTTACTGGAGGGGGTGTTACACGTGGGCGTGGTGTTGGTGTGGGGACAGTTTTTGCAGGGACTGGCACTCTTGGCGGGGTAAGGGGTCGGGTCACAGGCTTGGTGACAGGCTTGGGAACCGGCTTGGTGACAGGCTTGGTGACAGGCTTGGGAACAGGCTTGGGAAGGGGTCTGGCAGGGATGGGAGCGGCAGGAGCAGCAGGGGACGCACCAGGGGTTTTGGCAGGCAGAGGCGGCACCTTCGCTACAGGAGCCTTCGTTACAGGCACCTTCGTTACAGGGGGCTTCGTTACAGGCACCTTTGCAACAGAAGGCTTGGTTACAGGGGTGTTGGGCACTGGTACCTTCGCAGGCACCTTTGGTACTGGGGCCTTCGCTAAAGGAGGCTTTGCTACAGGAGGCTTTGTCACAGGAGGCTTCGTTACAGGAGGCTTCGTTACAGGAGGCTTCGTTACTGGCACCTTCGTAATTGGAGGCTTCGTTACAGGTACCTTTGTAACTGGGGGCTTCGTCGCAGGCGCATTGGGCACTGGTGCCTTCGCCACAGGCACCTTTGGTAATGGGGCCTTCGTTACGGGAGGCTTCGTTACAGGAGCCTTGGTCACAGGAGGCTTCGTTACAGGAGGCTTCGTAACAGGAGGCTTCGTTACAGGAGACTTCGTCACAGGAGGCTTCGTTACAGGAGGCTTTGTTACAGGGACTTTGGGCGCGGGAGTAGCAGGCTTGGGCGGCAGCTTAGGAGTAGGCTTGGGTACCACTGGTTTAGGTGCCGGCTTAGCAGGTACTGGTGTGGTCGGCCGTGGGGACTTCGCCGGAACGCGGGGGTTGCGGGGCGGAACGGGCGCCGCAGGTTGTTTGGGTGGGGAAGGGGACGGCGGAGGAGTGGGAGAAGGAGAGGGAGTAGGCGTAGGGGAAGGGGAAGGGGGCTTTTTAGGCTCCTTCGCACTGCCGCCGTTGCTGCCGCTGCCTTTGCCACCTCCCTCGTCACCCGTTCCGCCGGTCCCCCTCTCCTTGCGCTTCTTCCCCTTGCCCTTCCTCCGCTGTCTCGAGTTCCCCGCGCCCCACATGGCGCTGACCGTGCGCGGATTGAGAGCGTCCCCCACTCCCCCCAGCAGAACCCCCGGGTTCACAATCCATCCGATATCGTTGATGTAGTCGTTCGCAAGATACGGCTGAATTTCCGCGGCTGTCATTATCTTGGCGTGTTTTGGCCAGCCGGAAGTATTGAACCCGGGACCTCTGACGTTGTACACTCCGAAAGTGAGCGATTCCGTTTTTGTATACCCGCTCACAAACCCCCACCCCTCCTCCCGCACCGCGTCCTTCGCGAAGAACGTGTTGGCGAAAACGACCGTTGAGTAGTCGCCCCAGGAGCGCGCAAGGTAACCGGGGCGAATCGGGCCTTCGCTGCCGTACGGGGTGAGCACCCCCCCGCGAATGACGAACCCCGTCTCGTCGCCCGCGGCGCGCGCCTGCGCAAAGTACGCGCCGCCCCAGTAGACGAGGCGGAAAATGCAGTCGTCGAAGACCGCCTTGGCATTGCCGAATACAAAGTCCATGCGCCCCTGGATGACTGGGGGAGGGGGTAAGAGTGGGGGAAGGAGGGGGGGAAGGGGGTGGGGGAAGGGGAGGGGGTGTAGGTAGAAGGGCGGAGGGAGGAGGAGGGGGTACACGGGTGGGGGAGGGAGAAAGATACTTTTGAGTGGACTCAAATGAACAAGTTTATGCGACCCTGGATGACTGGCGGCAGGAGGAGGGAGAGGGGGGACGGGGTGGTGGAAGGAGGGTGGGAGGCGGAGATCGGAGGGAAGGGGGAAAGGGGAAGAGGATGGGAATGGGGAGAAGGGATGGGGAGATGGCGCCGCTTTGACGAGAGGGGTCCGAAACGGTGGGGAGGTTGAGGAGTTGGAGGGGAGTTGCTGGGGTTCAACGAAACGGGGAAGCGGTGAACCGGGGAACCGGGGAACCGGGGAACCGGGGAACCGGGGAAGCGGGGAAGCGGGAAAGCGGAAAAGCGGAAAAGGTTCACAGAGATGGATGCACGACGCGGGGCTTATACTGGAATCGAGGCAGGCTGCAAGGAGGATGAAAGCGGACGAAGCGGGAGCAGGGACGAGACGACATAGAATGCAGGGCAAGGATTACGAGCGATCTTGTAACCCTCTAGAGAAATCCTCAAAGGGGAGGGACGGAAGAATTGGCGCGCGGGACTCGAGCAGCGAGGGATGGAGGGATGCGGATAAAAAACAGCAGAGGAAGGTGTGCGCTTTGCGCGCTGTGGCGCACTCACTGCAGTTCTTGTAGTACTGGAGCCCGCTGTGCGCGTACAAGGTGTCCTGGGGGGAGACAGCGGGGGAGGCAGCGGGGGAGACGGCGGGGGAGATGGAAGGGACAGAGACAGAGGCAAAGAGGGAAGGAGGGCAAAAGAGAGACAAGACTCAGCGATCAGCACCTGGTATCCGAAGTAGGAGCGGTAGTACAACTGTGTACGCAACAGGGAGTAAACGACTTCTGAGACGTCTCACGGAGTTCATTGCAAGGCGAGCAAGGTGAGCAAGTCGAGCAGGGATAGCTGGAAGAGCGGGGCGGGCGGGGCGGGCGGGCGGGCAGGGCGAGCGGGGCGGGTGGGGCGAGCGGCACCTGGTAGCCGAGGAAGGTGCACTCGTAGAACTGGATGCGCGTGCCTTTCACCATCAGCGCCACCGCTTGATCCTCCTTGCTGCTCATGGTCGCACAACACATGCATCGCCATCAGTACCATGCATCGTCATCATCACCATGCATCATCATCATTACAATGTGTCACCGCCATCATGCATCACATCGAGGATAGTTCCACGCAATGCCGAGCGAATTCCATTCGTGGCATATAAGGGAAGAAGACATGCCAGGTCAGACTTCAGAGCGACTTTGCAGAACACCGTTTAGCACACACAGTCCCTAATCTCCAGCTTCCGGAGCCCCGTACAACAACAAACAAAGGGAGAGAGCGAGCGACGAACGAAAAAGAAAAGAAAGAAAGAAAGAAAGAAAGAAAGAAAGAAAAAAAAAAAAAAAAAAAAAGCTAGCTAACAGACAAGATTTCTTGTGAAACCACACTGAATCTGCTCCAGCTCACCCACCCTTGTGACCGGGGCCATGGCTGTTCTCGAAGGTGATGTGCTGCACTAGAACGCCCGTGACCCACACATAGCTTAAACATTTGAGGCGCACTTACCCGCCCTTCTTTCCGGGACCGTGGCTGTTCTCGAATGTGATGTGCTGCACCAGGAAATCCGTGGCCCACAGCTTGAACGTGCTGCTCTCCTCCGTGTTCATCGCGACTTCCGCGTCGTCCTCGCCCGCGTAATGCGCTGCCGTGATCGTCACGCCGCCGCCGCCCTTCTCGCCCACCAGCGCAACGTGGTGCAGCGACTTGGGCGTCTGCGCGGCACGCGGGCAGGACGGCAGGATTGCAGGACGGAAACAAGGCACGACGGCGGGACAACGACATGGCACGGCAGCAGAACGGCAGGTGGAGGGGAGGGAAAAGGGAGAGCGTAGTGAGGCGGAACGAATGTGGGAAGTGGGATCAAGGACGTGAGTATATGCGTGATTAAGACGCCAAATGTTGTTTGAATTTTTTTGCAGTGCGGAAAAACGGCATTCACAAATTATTTGGAGCGATAGATTCTATACCTCCCTCCCTCCCTCGGCTATCCACGCAATGCAATCTAAAAGTCACGCGGTGAAAACTCAAGTAGACCTGGAAGGATTGTGAAAGTCTTACAGTAGGGGTTTCATTATACACTCCGGCTTTTATGTAAATAATGGTGAATCGGCCCCGCCGTCCAGACGATGCGTTATCGAGCGCCTCCTGAAATGCGCCACGAGAGGAGACAGAGCAGACGGACCCACATTATACACGTGCGACGGTTGGGAAGTCGCTTACAACACAGCGTCGTACGGAAACACGAGCGTGATGCGTTTGATATGCCCAGCTATTATAGAGGTCCTCCCTTTTGGCGCTCAAAAAAAGGCGCTCTGTCGGAAACCAGCGACCATACAATCCTTTCAGAGGGAAAATATTTTTTTAGAGAGTTAAAGCAAGGGCAATAATGAGGGAATAGGACAGCAAGGTAACGCACCTGCACGGTCTTATAGTCACCAGTGCCGTCTAGCGCAACGACAATGTCGGGCTTGCGGGACTTTTGCGGCGCTCCGCTTGCCTGAATTGCCGCGAATCTATTCCCGGTATAAACGGCCTCGACAGATGCTATCAGCAGGAGGAAAAATGCCAAGCAACCAAGTAGTTGGCCTTGAGTTGGTATGGCGAACGACGAGCGCAATTGATAACGGAAGTCGACCCTGCTGGTTCTTACTCGCCTAGTCGCCATGGATTCCCGCTCTCTGTTTGTCATCGGCAACGGTGGCAGCTGCTGCAGGTACCGCAGCCGCTGCTGCCGCGGCTATTTTCTGCTCTAATAACCAGTCAGCTAGGCTGGAATTATCGAAGGGGCAACGGAACACTGGGATGCGGGAAGCGCATGCAATGGGGATGGGCCTACCCAGCGTCGCCACATGCTATGGAGCTCAAACAAGACACCAAGAACCGCCGCTAGTGGGATGACATGGGGACAAAGGTGGGCTGGGCGTTCATCGTCGTGTAAAGCAGTCGAGGACGGAACGGTGCAGGAAGATATCTGCCGCACTTGCTGCTTCGTTGTGCTGCTGCTAGGTGTTGCTGCTGGGGAGGTAGATGCTGTGCTGCCAAGCAGACATTTGACGACAAGGGCCCAAGTGCAGGCTTCACTCACAGATTCCCCTGTGACTCGTGCGTGACTCGGCTGTAGAGCGTCGGGAAAAGCACATTGCATTGGTGAGAATCGAGCCGCGGATTCGAGCGCGCAGCGGTTCTCAGACCGCATTCCCCTTTGTCCCACTGTCCCCACCACCAACAACACGTCCGTGCAAGAGAGGACAAGGGCTGGCGTCCACGTCACCTAAGCGTCGAAGGTTTGGTTTTCTCTACACCAATGCCTTTCCCGAAATTCGCCTGTGTCAGCGGGACGTGCAACGAAAGTCACAAGCGGCTGGTAACATGGCTTCTGGCGAACACTTGTCCCACCTTCTGCGAATGGTTTCTCCAAGCTCGTAGGGCCATTTTCGAACGTGGGCCTAGATCAAGGCGGCGTCCGTACGACATTTGGATCTTGTACTGCGTAAAAGCAGGTCAGTAAAAAGGGTTATCTGCTAACGTGAATGAAGATCTAGTGCACATGATATATTCCAACATACCGGAAGCTGCTGTTTCGTGGTAGAGGATTTACATTTGTTCAAGAAAGGAATTGGCATACCGGTAGCTGTCAAGAGATGATGGGAAAAGACTGGGCGCATGCTGCGAGCCTTTCTTCAGGTTCACAACCAATCTGCACTGAGGCTATCATGCACTCACAATATCCTAAAAGTTTTAACATACTGTAGCATGATTAAGCTGAGTGTAACTTCAAAGTTTGAGCTACAAGTGCAGTGTATATTCTTTCCACAAGGTGCAACGTTTTCTTTCAAATGCACGAATATGTGCCACTACTCAATAGAAAGAATTGGTATCCAACAGATTATTGGAATCCATTATAATTTGCCATGAAACAGTCCAAAGAAAGGCTCTCGTGACTCTGCACTGCACTTCACTAGCCACATATCACTTAATCCGTATATGCAGCAAACTGTAGCATCAACTCCTGCCAGCCTTTCCAAACCGATTAGCGCCGCTGCCACACACACCACACCAGCAACTAGCCCACACCACAATCTCTTCACTTGAGCTCCACGGCATGCCCACCACCAGCACAGGAGGCCACAACCACGTGCCCTGGAAACACGAGCGGCGCTTGCCGCACATGCTCCTCACCCAAAGAAGAGAAGCAAACTGCAGGGACAGATGCTTGTGCAGTACACCGAGAAGCTGGAGAATGGTCTGCTGCATGTGCTGCATCTCTTGCTCCTGCTGCTGCTGCCGCTGCTGGGCCTTGCGTTGCTGATTCTGCTGCTGGATTTGCCGGAAGCACGGGCTGTCCAAACGGTGTTAGAGGGGCAGAGTGGGAAGATGGATCGGTAGGCGCACCAAGAGAGAGAAAACATGACGAGGACGGAAGCGGGCCACTCCAGGGGTACCAGGCGTGCTGCTGCTGGCTTGCACGACCCACTTGATTGTGTGTCTCCTGTTCTTGCTGCACCTGCCGCTGCTGCTGCTGTTGGCGCAAGTGGTGGTGCTGGAAATACTCGTGAATAACCTCTTCTTGCATCTCCGTGGCATCCTCAGCCCAGTCGTACGGTTTCTCGTCGTCATATCCATCGTCGTCGTCGCACGCACCGTCACAGTCGTCGCCACAGTCACCGTCACAGCCGCCAACATAATCGCCCTCGGTGTCAAAGTCGCATGGGAGCGACAAGCGAGACACGCTCAGCGCGCACCGGCCCTTCCGTGCTTCCCCCTGCAGCAGAACCCCCCGCAGGATTCCCCTTCCCCCTCTTCTGCTCCGCCGCAAAACTCCCCTTGGCCCTCCTCTGCGCCTTCCACGCTTCCGTCCCCCGTTGCGCCGCCCCAACCCTCCGCGCGTTCCGCCAGCGTCTGCGCATCTAGCAGCTCGTTAAGGAGGAGGTCCACTGCCATATCCGCGTTCCCCGCTTCTCCGCCTCCTGACTTGCGCGGAATCTGGGAGATGCCCGCGGGGGAAGCGCACACCTGCGCGCGCCCTCCACTCGTGGCCACGGCTGGACTTGCAAGCTCAGGTACGTGCGACAGCGAACCGTCGCCTCGAAACGTGGATGACACTTCGTCGTCGTCATCGTCGTCTTCGTCGCCACCGCTCGCTCGCGATAAGCCTCTCCGCCAAAGCGGCTCCGCCAACCCCGCAAAACACCCCATGCGCGCCCCTTTTTCATACATTCCGCCTGGACACGCTTCTCTCGCACCCGCTCCCGCTGCCGCTCCCCTGCTGCTGTCGAGAGAAAGAGCGGCGGGATGCCGCGCTCTTTGCCAATCCTGCGGCTCAGAAAGTGCCCACGCCGCGACTGGCGCCGTATCTGGCGCAGTCCAAAGCGCCAAAGGGCTACCCAAGAGCGATGGGGAGATTGACGTAGACGTGGAAGGGCCCGCGAATTCGTTGACCTGGCCGTTTACGACACCGACAAACGTCCCGTCCGACTGTTTTCTGCAGGACGGCCATCCCGGTACAAGGTCTCCGCTGACCGCGCCGTAAGTAGCGGCAGACGGCAGCGGTCCGGACTTAGTGAGACGCAACATCGATCCATCGGATTCTGCCGAATCCGTAGGAGCGACGCACGCTTCGCTGGCGGGAGCGGCGATGGCAGTGGTGCACTCGTGAAAAAGCATAGGGCCCGACTTGCACTTCCGCTTGCGGAAAGTCAGTCGGGCGGATTCCGCTGACAAGCACGGATGGACGGCGGGTTGAGCGGAAGGATACGCGGAAAGTTGCGCGGGCTCTGCACGGACAGTTTTGCCTGCTTCACAAATCTCACCCTCTCTTTCCGCAATAGTACCGTCGACAGTAGCTCTCGCAGCTATCGCGGTGGAGAACCCTCGGTCCAGAACGGTGTGGGAGGGGTTTGCGCGGAGATTGCAGGGAAAGGGCCAAGAAAGGCCGAAGGGGCGCAAGGCCGCGGATACGCGGAGAATGGCTAAAGGATGGGAGGACGAGGTTGTGAGAAGAAGCGAGAGCTCATGACTGGGATGATTTCTCGACTGCTCCGACTGCTGTAACTGGTGTGACTGCTGTTGTTGCTGCTGCTGCTGCGGACCGTGCTGCTGACTGTAGTCATGAACACCGGTTCGTCGACGGCTTGCTTGATCCTCTGTGGACCTGCCAGTCATTGCTTCTCGACGGGAAGTCGCAGGGGTGCCTGCGTCCCGACGATTGCCATCGATCAATGCTGACGCCATGGCTGACGTGGGCAGCTGTGCCGCCGCGAGGAAGGCGCTTGTGACATCATTAGTGTGACTGTCGGTGCGGTGGAGAGCGGTTGAGTCCCCTGCAGAAACTAATCCAACGCGTATGTCCACGTGCTGCTCGAATATCGCGATCTATTGGAAGGACGGGGAAGGAAAAAGCGCGATGGAGAGGGGTGAAATGAGCTACCGCTGTGAAGTCGAGACAACAAGCGAGACATGCAAACGTGCTCGAATAATGAGAACCCTATTTTTTAGAGGGTTCTATAACTTCGGTGAGCGAGAAACGTGAGAATCGGCATCCATCCAGACCATTGGGCTGCCACAACGGAGGGATTGAAGTACCTGAAGAAGCTCGTTGAACGCGATGAAACTGCTTGATCCTGGATTTACGGGTTTAGTCTGCGCCACTCCTAAGCATCTGTGGCCCGCAGTTACTGTCAGCCGCACGCACAGTGACGCACCGCTAACGCGATTCGCGGCGCGGAGGGCGCTGAGATCAAGCCCCTCTAATTGGTCCACGTACACCTCCAGAAAGGCGGCAGGCTTCATGGACATCGACTGGCTGACTAACTTGAGAAGCACGAAGATAGAAATAGAGCGAGACACTGGGCAAGATACTGGCAGAGCGTAACGTCAGAAAGGGGTTCTATATCTACGCTGCGCCACCTCTACTAGCGTTTCGCTAAGAGGGGTTTTTGCGCGATACTGAAGATGGTCTACGTTGGTAAAAGGATCTGCATACTTCTGCATACAAGGATCTAGCTCGCCAGATGCTTTCAACTCTTTGGGAAGGGGCACGAAAAGACTAACTGGACTATTTCTGCAAGTACGTTCGCACACGAGCAGCTGCTCTGCGTTGCGTCGCAAGTTCTGGAAGTTGAGGGGCGCGTCAATGGTGTCCTATGGTCCTGTTAGTGCTGCGAATTGGCCCCCAGTCGCGATCGCCGAGGGTGGGTGGAATGAATGGGGCTGAGGGACTGCGTGCGTTTGCCAACAGAGAGAGTTGTGGAGAGCACAAGTTGTTCTGCAGAGCTTTGGCGGCGACTTGGACGCCCTCCAGCCAAGGCGACGCATGAAACGCGGGAGGGAGGGCGAAAGAGACAACTGATGAAAACAGAGGCGACGCGAAGTGTATTTGGCGAGCCGAGGCGCGAGGGCGATAGAAACGCTGGCCTAAATGGTTTGGTGGGGGAGAAAACGAATGAGGTCCAGGCGGGTGGGTGTTGTATGTGCAGGGAGGCTATTGGTAATTTCGAAACTGCATGGATGGAGATTAGCTGGTTGCGGCAACTTGAGATGTGAGTGACGTACCGCAGTGCAGTTGAGCCTGAAAATTACTCTCCAACTGAGCTGATCAGCACGACAGTGCGACAGCCCACGTCACGTGATGCGACTGCGATGAGTACAAAACATTCCTCGCCGTTGGAGATGCTGGTGTAACTTTCGCGTCAAAGCGGTGTTACCGGCTTCGCATCCACTTGTTGCCTCGTAATTCGCGAAAACTGACGATGTTAACTGCGATAGTGTACGAATGTGCGATTCTTTTTGCCATGTGTAACTTGTCGAATCGCAGCAACTGTGCGATGTGCATTTGGCGATTTGGACGTGCCACGGGACCTCGTTTCCGCCACACCGAGTCGCTTGTGACTTGTAGTGTTGCGCGTCTCGCGAGTTTGATTGATGACGGCGTCGCGACCATCACGAAGCAAAGTTGAACCACCATTTGGGGGCGTGCACGCCTGTGCGATAGCAATCCGAAAGAAAAGGGCCTCCCAGCGGAGATGTAGACGGCGCGCGCGCCGCAACTCCTCACAGGTGCTTGCGACTGGGAAGTACCACCTAGTTCCCCTCAAACGCTTCAAACCCATGCAAGCGACGAAGCGCCAGTTCGCCACTTCGCCGTCCTCCCGATATGTATCTGGGCGACGTACAGCGTCCCCGTCGCCTACCACGCTGGAACAATCACCATCGCTGCGATTCGACGGAGAAACCAAAGGCCAGCATGCAGGGCATCTGCAAATTGATTGAGATTCAACTCCAGCGATGCTACAACGAGGGCACACAACGTAGAGTCACACCAGAAATGCTTGTCCGAACAGATATGAAAATCGTAACACATTGAAATTAAGCCTACACTAGCAATAATGGACATTCTATATTTATTCTGTCCAGGTCAATTGCACTTTTAGAAGTGTAATACCATATTTGGGGTCTTCATATTGTTGGAAATATGTTTGTGTATTATCTATTATGCAGTGCACTGTTTGAAGTGCAGAAGCGAAGCTCGCCTTAGCGACGGTTTTGACCCTGGTGGCGAGTCAACGGGGCGCAACCGCGCACAGTGGTTGCGACCCGCGTGGCAGCTGAAGAGTCGGATTCTACAGGCAGCAGCTTGTACTTCCCCGAAACCGCCCTGCAGGGCGCGGCAGAATACCGCGCCCTTGCCGAAGCTGAACAGTCGCGCCAGCGCGACTGTAACAAGGCAACCGAACCGTTACAGCGCAACTGTAATACAGTTGCGCCTTGGTAACTGCCTGCCTTGTATGTTTCCCATATAACTCAATGTATTGCATGTCTCTTATTACACAATTCCCAAGCTTGTGTCCGGCCTACCCTCGGCCGCTGCTCTGGCACCAAGTTACAAGCTAGGAGAGCTACCTCTGAGTGACCATTGCCCCGCCGTAGGGACGTCGTTAATTCCTAGAGCTTCCGCTGCGCTCTAGCGACTTCTTAATTTCAACATGGTATGAGAGCGGCTCGGGAATCCTTCGCACTGCCACTCCCGAAAATTGCGACATTCGGAAAGTGGCGTCCGGCACACGCTCACGAGTGAAGATGGCCGGAGGATCTGGTGGTCAGACCAATCTGACGGCTGAAGCGCAACCCAACCCGGCTGCGATAATCGAGAACACGACGACAATCAACTCCGAAGTTCTCGCACAACTCCTTCAGCGACTCACCAGCTTGGAGCAAGGGCTCCAAACATTGCGGAATGGCGATGCGGGAACATCCTCGCAACCCTCTCAACCGGCCCCGACTGGCCAGAACGCCACCCCGCAAACATTCTCCCTCGACACCAATGGCTCAACCCCCAAGACTCCCCGTCCCAGTGAAGAGGCAATTCTCTCCGCTCAATCAAGGTTTCTCAGCATATCAAAAATAAAGACAAGTACCTGTTTTGACGGCAGAGACTTTTACACCTGGAGCTTCGAGTTGGAGCTCCTGCTGCAGAACGCCCAAATCTTCCATTACTTCGACGGGAGCTACGCGGAGCCTGCTGAGGACACCGACGACGCCAAGGCGAGGTATTACAACGAATTGCTAATGGCGTACGGGGTGCTCCTGCGGAATATGTCGGCGGCGGAGCAGCTCAATATTCGTTCGTACAAGACCTCAGATGCTCCAGCCCTCAACGCCTGGCGACATCTGACAGGAGTGTATCAGCCCAAGGACTCTGTCTCCTCGAGCCGACTGCTCCAGGAACTCCTGGAAACCAAGATGACCGCAGGGGAGAAGGTCAACAACTACCTTAATCGCTGTCGGAGCCTTCGCGATTAAATCGTGAAACTGGGAAGCACGATATCGGAAGAAATCTTCGTCAACATCGTGCTTCAAGGGCTCGGCCCAGAGTGGCGGCCCTGCAAGGCGCTTCTCCGACAGCAGGGGGTCATCTCGGAGGCCGCCCTTTGCGCCGCCCTTCTCGTCGAACAGAGGGATATGGATCAGCAGCGACCAGCGCCGCGACGAGAACGCGAACGGCTCGCCTTCTACGCCGACAACACCGAAGAGCGAAAGCCACGGCGCCTCTACTGCAAAATCTGCAGAAATTTCGGGCATCTGGCGGATCGATGCAAGAACCGATCTCGCCCTCGCCAGACCAATCCGAGCACCTGGTCCGGCCGTCAAGACGCACGAGGCGACGTGCGTCCAGCCCAGGGGTATCAGCCCCCTCCGGTGCGTAACCTGAACCCAGCGGTTCAGCATCAGCAGCAGCAGCCGTCATCGACTGCCCCAGTTCGCAACGTCATGAGCAACATGGCCATGACAGGCGAATCGCGTCGTCGCCGCGTGCGCTCACCTTCACCTGAGCCGGCACCGCACCCCATTGGCGCATTCACCTACAAGAATCCTTTCAGTCCGCGCCACGATTTCACCGACGACGACGACCAGGACTGGAATCTTCCAGTCCCGCTGCTTGAAAGTCCCCCGCACGTACCTGATATGCGGGTGGCGCCACTTGATTGGCTCACGCGCGAGCAATTTCTGAAGTTCGACACTCCGCACATCGTCACGCCGCGACTGGCGCTGCTCGCACGTGACAACAACAAGCGCTACAACACCTGGTACCTGGATAGCTGCTGCGGCCAGCATATGGTGGGGTCCGAGCGTTACATATCCAACGCCGTCCCCACCCCTACCGTCACTTACGTCACTGTGGCGAACAATACGCGCCTGCGCGCAAGGCATCGTCGTGCTTAAAGCACGCGGAAGCCGCACGCACATCACACTTAATGATGTGCTGATCGTCCAGAACCTGCGCTTCAACCTTCTGTCCGCCGCACAGCTCATGGATTGCGGCGTCGACCTCAGCACGGACCGCGAAACGCGAGATATCCTGCTGCACTACGAAGCACGCAACTTCCCCCGCAGGCAGATCGGACGAGCACACTCCGAAAACGGAGTATACGTCTTGGATTTTTACATCCCCGACTGCAGCGGCGACTCGCACGAGCTGATTGACCTCGTGCCACTGCGCTTCGAGCACATCCACCGCAGGGACTGGAAGCACCCTGACGGCAGACCGTGGGTGCCGCATCATTCCCACCCACGTGAAACGGCACTGCACAACCCCGATCCAGATGAAATCTGAAGGGATTGTCACACGCCGACGACCTCGACGAGCGCGATTGCAGGCCGCGGACTTGCCGTCATCGCTGAAGCAGAGCGCAACGCGCCCCCCGAGGAAGGGATGTCGCAGCTCGAACTTGAAGTTGCTACTCACGGCGTTTTCGGCACGAAGGAGCATCCTCTATTCATCGGTCCCCCCTCACAGCACCTGCAAGGCATGATGCGCGGAACTGGGGTCGGGACCTTTGATGCCCTTGGCGAGCCGCGCCCCTACACCTACGAGAAATTCTGGGACGTCTACTCGACCCATCGCGACTCGAAAAAGAAGCTCATTGTGGAGCAAGAGGAAGAACTGGCGCGCCGCGAAGCCGAGGAGCTTCGCCAGCAAAGCCTCGCGGAAGCCCGCGGGACCTTCGCTTGCGCCGCCTGGGGAGCTGAGGAGGAAGCGAGCGCCTCCAATGAAGGGGGGTGGGGAAGTACTGGCGGCTGGGGAACAAGCGACAACGGCGGAACCTGGGCTAATGCGAGCGGCGGATGGGGCGCCGCACCAGGCGCCGACGACAGCGGCTGGGGTACTTTCCGCGAAGAACGAAGGGGGGGAGAAGAAGAAGCCGAGGAAACTGAGGCAACACCTGTAGTCGTTCCTCTCGGTCATCCCCCGCGCCACGTCCCATGGGACACCATCATCTGGGGCAACGAGCCGTCAA